TAATGACTAGTATACATTTAAATAGTTTAAATATTAAAAAGTAGCAAATCCAGGTAAACTGCCATAAAAAGATACGTAGTCACATAGTCTTTTGTTATGATGACAAATGTTACTTGACTTTTTTGGTGTAAAGATAGCATGTTTTCGGTGTTTATACATGAACAATTAAAATACTCTGCATAACTCTGCTTCATCTACAGAAGTAAAAGTTTCATCTTAGAACATTGCCAGGTTTTGCAGCAATATATGTAGAATTGATCGAAGGTCACCAAAGCAAAATTTGGCTTTATCTACTTTTCACATATAAAGCAGTATTCTCCCAAAGTGTCAAAACTTATATAATCATATGAAGGTTTACCCTCTGAGATCATTTAATACATGGAGGAAATAATTTAACAAATGGTACCCAAGTTGATAAAAAGAGTTTCCACAACTTCCCTAAAGCTCAGAAGAGTTTGGCTCAACTCTCAGCCAACCTTTGTTCATTTAACATGGCACACAAGGGTACAAATCTGTCAGGGTGACAGAGAGGGTGGTGAGATGGCCCCACTTTGTTCCTACGTATTCTTTTAGACCAATCACTAATTTCATGAAAAAGTATAATTCTTAATTTATAAACTTTTTGCAAATGTTTCAGGAGGAAAAAGTGTTTTAACCTAAAATAAAGAACCAAATTTGTTTCTATGACTAATTTTCTGAACTCATGACAATTAAGCAACACAAAAGGGACATGGTTGTAATTTGTACAATTCTTTATTCTAAGTGATCTTGAAAGAGTGAGTAGGAGGGACACTAATTTGGGATTTTGGTTACCTTAAGTGTTAATAAGTGTATATTAATAAAAGCATGTCTAAGCCTCCACTTAAAAAAAAGTAAATCAGTTATTACATTAGATGCTGTTTCATTAAAAATCCTGTCGTGTAAGATCCAGGAAAGAGAAAGAAAAGTAACATTTATTCAGCGGCATCTCGTCTTTCAAATACAGAAATTGTTTATCACTCCAGTAGCCGGCGAGAGCGATATTGTCCCCTCTGCTGCTAAAGGACTGAAACTTGCTGATCTTAAATAACCTCACATTGCAGAGTGAGCGCGTGGAGGAACAGGGATTTGAGATGAGAGTCCTTGATTTCTGTCTCCAAGTGGTTTTAATTCTATTTTCAGAGTTGGAAAGTAATAATATATAAAATGCTACAGAGACATCACTGTGCAACTTGTCAGAAAGTCCTA